TATACGTTGTCATTACTCTGTTCCTCTTGCTTTCAATCTATCTTGTGAGTATCAAATTTTCCAAGCCCTCTTTCCTCATTAAGCGCCCTATAAATTTCAACTGTCACTTCCTGATATAAGCGTCCGTTTTGTTGCCATCTTTTATACGAGTGTTTTTTCATGTTTATTATTATTATTATTGTTATTATTATTATTATTATCAATTACTTTGATTTCTGTTGTATACAGGTCCCAGCCAGAGAGCTAAGGTCAGAAATGGCTTCACGACATTTTCCACATATCATTGTTATAAAAAAGACAAACCCTATGATCACACACATTTTACATAGATAAAGCTCTTCGTAATATGTGAGCTGTACTTGTGAGTACATTTTTTCTATTTCTTTAAGGCATGAGATATCAGGAATCCCTTCAATGAGTCTATCGGAACCAATCAATCTGAAGGCTCCAACTACAACTGGAATTATTAATGTCCTCATGTATCACATTTTTGAGGTTTCCACATCAATATCCTTGTATTTTGAAAATTTTGAAGATAATCAACAATACCTTAGAATCTGCAGAGACTGCCATGTTAATAAGAAAGAACATTCTGTTTTCGGGTCTTTGGTCACGATCTCTGGTCGATTAGCTTTCATTGCTCTGTCAGTGTGTATTGTAAAGTACCATGAAATTGTTACAGATCCTATGTCTGTAAACAGGCCTGGGTGATGTTCATAACAGTTTCTTGCAGTTTCCTTCCGGTAAAAGTTGTTTAATTTCCAGTGTATATATTGGCCCAATCTATCATGCCGAGTTTTATATTCAGTGGATGCTAACACCGTGCAACCTGATACAGGATGGTCAATTGTTTCTGGATATTTATAATATGCATTTCGGATTAACACAATTTTTCAGTATGTGTGCTTGATAATTTCTAGTTAGTAAGCATTGGTTCTGTGCAGCAAGAATAAAACCTTCGATTTCAGCTTTTAATCCTACACTTCGTAACCACTGATCGGTATGGAGATTGTCTACATAAGCTTGTTTGGTATGGGTAGCGTATTGAAGCGGCTTATCTTGCCATCGTTTCTGCATTTCGTACATTACATTTGCTTTTGCTTTCGTTTTTAGGTTCTTTGCCGCTGCAGTAGGTGTATTATGGTTTACTTGCACTTCTTTACCAACCTGAAATCCCTTTTGAAATTATTGGCTTCCTTTATTACTGAATAAAGTTTCTTATTTCTTTCATTTCTTTTTCATTTTTTGACACAGATCATCACCTAGTTTTCTGTAGTTTCTAGGTATCTTTGAAGACCGATTGTTGCGGTCTTGTGACGCATTTCTAGTTGAACTAATCCTCTGCCTCTTTCTGATCTGGACAGATGATCAACATAAACCTCAGGTTGAGGCCTGCTGTAGCAAGTGAGAAGCTTTCTCGTTTTGACATCCATGTCAGCTATGGTCCAATTAAGGATGTTGAAAATGTATTACATCACAGGGAAAATTAAATTCTTTATCGCTTATATTGTTTTTTTGTTTTTTTTAATTCAACTCGGTATTTAACACCAGACGCACATCCCTGTGGCATTCTCTTCTTACTTCCTCCTTCATTTGGATATGCTGTGTTCCATCTCCTTCGCTCACTCCTAGGTAGTCATCGGCTTCTTCTTGTTCTCGTTCCCTAAACTTTGTGACGAAATCAAAATCTAGAGTCTGTTTTTGTAATACTACTTTTTTTTAATGTTACGTTTACACATATATCTAATTCAAAATCGATACCGATATCGTCACTGAAACATTTTAAATATTTAAGGAAATTTACTATCACTGAGGAGACCTTGTACATTTCCAAAGCCTTGAGGATCTAAGTGTGTGGCACACTGTCAAAGGCTTTGCGGTAATCTAACCAAGCTGTTCTGAGATTTCAACCATTTTACTTATAATTTTCCAGGATCCTTTTATTTATTAGTAGTTGATCTTTGCAACCATATGAACCTTTCCGATATCCCTACAGATCCAGGGAAAGAATCTTGTTATTCTCGAGAAAAGAGAAAGTACATTTCGTGAGGACAGACGTGATCAAATTATATGTGGTGGACAGACATGTTATTGGCCTATATTTTTTTGGTTCATCTGTTTCATCCGTTTTTGGTAGGAGATATGTAATGCATTCCGTGATCCATTCTGGAATTTCATTGCGGTTATTAATTAGCATAAATAAAGTTTACGCAAGAGTTTTATAGATTGATAACAGTTGGGTAAGTTTTCATTTACTGGGGATTTTCATTTTGGGGATTCTGTACTTGCCTAACATTATTCTTACTCATATTTTTCCAATCTTGCACAGGTTTATCCTTCATTCTTTCTTGTTCTTGTTTAATCCAATCTGCATTGGGATTATATTCCTTTGGGTTGTTCCAAATATTCTCCCAAATTTTCTGCACTTCTTCAATCGATGGTGGTTTTTTGACTTCTATAACTGCTTTTCCAATTTCCCTGTAAAACTTCTTGACGTCTATTTGGAATCTTTTATTTTGTCGATAGAACTTACGTTTTTGATATCGTCTTGTTCTCTGCAGTTTCTGTTTAAATATTTCCTTGATTGTTGGAATTTCATTTACTGCTTTAATCTTATATTTCCGATTGATCGTCTTGCTTTTCTGTGTTGAAATATTTGACTATTGAAATCTCGCCTATTATCGATAACTCACATCTGATTTCCTCAATTTCTCGCTTTAATTTTGCCTTCTACGTTGGCTATTTTTGTCTGTTGTTTAATCTTTTATTTTGCCTTGACATTAAGTTATTATTATTATTATTATTATCATTATTATTATCATTATTGTTGTTATTATTATTATTATTATTATTATTATTTCTTTTTCTTACAATATTCTCGTTTGGTGCACTTTTCATTTTTACTATTTATTTTTTTTTACAATGATGCTCACACTGCAAAAGGCCCAAAACCCATTCGGGGGTTACAGAATAAGATGTACTATTTATGGGTGTCTGTGGGTAAGATAAGAGTTAACCCTAGACTTGAACAGGTTAAGATTGAAATGATCGGGAAAACATCCTCTTGAGAGCCGGTTCGACAAAGCTACAGTTCGTGGGAAGACGCTGCTCGAGTGAAACAGACACCTCACCAGTGGAATACGAATGGCTGGTTCGCTACAATGTGGGTGTTATGGAGGTTCTTAACTCTGAAGGTCAGAACTGGTGGGATAAACGAATGTAGTTCATCTGAACACTTTGCAAATATTTTTGGGATTTTATGAAGTTTTTGGAGATAACAATGATTTACTGATACAAGTCCTACTGATTAACCTGTAACTGGGGGAGAAAAAGGTGGATTCTTACATTTCCCAAGGGTATTTGCGCCTAAGGGACTATAAAGAATCTGACTGGAATTGGAACTCGGCTCTCCAATTCCCAATTTCGAGCAGTTTTCACTACTCGCACATGTCAGGCTGCAGCATCTGGTAATCCAAGGCGGTAACCCTAATAGGTACTGACCAGACTCGACATTGCTTAACTTCAGCGATCGTATCGTGTTTCAACGTGATGGGACCGTAAGCCTACATGTATGCGTGCGTGTGTTCATATGTATATTCTGTACTATTTAAAGTAAGCAGTGTTTGTAATAAGGGTGAACAATATCCTGAGACAGGGGAATAATAATAACATTATGTACTCACCCATCCCCAAAACATGTATTACGTATGCTACTTGACTGACTGACATAATAGTACAAGTCTTATTAGCTTAATTGTATTGTTGAATATTAGTCTATATGATACAGGACAACGGTATAGCTGATTAAAGCATTCTTGGGCCAAGTAGTAGAGATACTGACTCAGCGGAAAAACGGTGAGCGATAACTGAGTAATATTTAAAAAAAAAAGATCAAGATATCCCTCAAACAGACATGGGTACGAGAACAATCTCCCATCCTAAGTTATTTAAAAGGTTCAATTTGAAATTCCCATATCGACAGACACATAAAGAAGGCTAACGGGCACAACGACCGGAACATTGGGATAATAACAATAAAGATGAGGACATTAGTTCGAATGTAAATAATATAAACAATTACTCCTCATCCTAGAAATTAGTTTTAATCGATTAGATTGTTATTGCATTTTATTACAACCTTCTGAGTCGATGTCTTTTCCATTATTAGTTAAATGTTTTTCTCCATCTTATTATTGTCGCTTGACAACACACTGATTCTGCCCACTCTGCATAATTACTCTTATTTTAATTCGAGTTTTACTCCATCCATATTATAGTTAAATGATAGGATAAGGAACAAATAGGAACCGTTTATAGATTTAACAGGTTTCGCTTTTACACAAGCTTAATCAGATATTAAACATGGAGAACAAAAGAACATTCTCGTATTTTTTTTTATTTTTGTGTTGTTTGTTTTTTATTGGTTAATCAATAAAAAATGCAAACACAAAAATACAATAAACATGGATGAAACTTAATTTTAATTGAGTCTTTATTTGCATGAAGAAAGTCTGGAAAAATGCTGATGGTATAATTATTTACATTCAGTTTGTAGAACCAAAAATATTGGTGAGAATTGATACTGGGAAAACTTTATTTGTAAACATATAAATTATAATATTAGTAAAATCAAGACGTTTTTGCGCCTTAACATAGGCGAAAAATGTCTTGATTTTAATAATCTACCAAAAATCAATAAATTATTGAATTTGAATAATTAATAACAGTTTTAAAATATTATTTACTTAATAAATGATGGAATTACTTTAAATAAGTTTATTTTCCGAATTTTTGAGAAAAAGAAACAAAATGGTGCACACAACACAAGAACCGAACAAACGAGACACAAAATGAATAATGCTCAAACAACGCTTGCTGGAAAGAGCATGGGATCGGTGAAATGGCGGCAAACTACATCATGCTACACCAACATCATTTAATTTACATGGAACTTTTCTGGATTTTTTAGTTTCGAATATTTGTTGTTTGAGTCTATTGATATGAAAGCTGCGGATACAAGGAGCCGACTGTACTACAAGGAGATTATGCTCGTAAGTAACTTCCAGTGATTCGATGATAATCTTCATCGCAGAAGCTACCAATAACCTATTTATGATGATTGATGGAGAAGAGGGAGGGAGAGAAAAAATGACGCTTCTCCTGGTTCTATATAACAAAATTAATATCTTGTCACATGAGACATTCAGGAATGTTTACTGGAAAGTAACTTTCCTTTACCCTGTGAAATTCCAGCATGTAACTCCGACAAAATACAAATTTGGAAACCAACCAATTTATTTTTTATCACCCCCCTCCCCCGCAGCAAGGCAAATAAGCCACTAGGACGCAAAGAGTTATTGAGTGTTAGAGAACATGAGGAAAACTACTATTAAGAAGAGAAGACAATAAAAGAAGAAGATTTAAGAAGACGGAAGATAATGATTGACATTGCATTTAAATTTATCAATCTGTTTCATTATCATCGTAGTTTCAGAGGAGCTTAGTAAGCAAAATGTATACACAGTTTGGAAGACTATAGTATACTAATCTTGCATGGTAAGAGTAGATTCACTTTAAAAATCTTAGATTTTATATGACCTCTTGCACCGTTAGTAAATGAGTAACTATCTGATTAACAGGATAAATTTAGTATTATATTAGAACAACGTAAGTAGTTTCGGTAACGGGAGTTGAAAGGTGTTGTGTTTTTTTATATCTTTAGCGATGATACTGTGTGGTGTGGGTTTTCTTTCTATTTTTTGGTATCAATAGTATTGCTATGTTCCGTTTTTTATTGACACAAGAGCAGAAATAATAGTAATATCGCAAGAAGAGAAAGTGATATTACTTTCATTTTATTATTTTTCTTTCTCTCATCAATCCCGATGTCCCTCATATCTACTACTTCTGCTGTTAAATAATAGTTTCAGACTATTACTTTTTAGTGGCAGTGTCTTTGGCTCAGACCTTCTGAGGCTGATCTTGGTGTCAGCTGATAGACAAAACAAAAAATGTCCTTTTTGATTGGTTAAAACGAGCGTGGGAAGGTTAGAAAGTTAGAAAGTGTTTTTGAGGAGTTAAGTTTTACACGTCGAAGAGATCAGATGTGGTTATTTCGTGTCTCGGGAAACTTGCTCCCCAGTGGGGCTGATAGAGCGATCCCCCCCCCCGGCTAGTTAAAAATGTACACGTCGACGTGTTTAATAAAAAAATTCCATTTTGTTGAACTTCTCATTTTACCTTCGAACAAACCAACTAGTGATCACCCGACCGGAAGATGACAGAAAGAAGAAAGTAACGTATGAATGAATCAAACCCGTCACCCCAAGACATCCTCAGAAGAGAAGGGGCTATGCAACAAATGGTAACCTTCCGAAAAAGATCATAAAAATGAAAGATGAAGAACAGGAAAGACACAGACTTATGACTATTGATAACATCAAGGGAAGGTCACGAAAATGACAAAATGGTTGAGTGAAATGCATTTAACAAAAATAGAGATTTAAACTTAATTATATAATGGATGTGTCCGGCTAGATATGGTATCCGAGTGTCGAATATGAAAATTAAGAAAACAAGCGTAAAATATGTACATAAATGGAAATAAAAATGATAAAAATTCTAACAAAAAAGACGAAAATAAGGGAAATCTTAGAAGTAATAAAGTCACAAAAATGAAGTTGGGGTGGATATATTGCAAAACGAAAGGATAACAGATGGAGTAAAAGGTTGCTTTATTGTTGCCCAATGTGTAGCGAACGTAGTAGGAAAAATAAAATTGTAAATGGAAAGATGAAAATAGAGGGGCTTAAGAATAGCCCGCCCACGATCGTCATAAAAGGATTTAGGTTTTTAAACCGTTGTTCTACACGTCGAATAGCTCAGACGTGGTTATTTCGTCAACATGTTAATAAAATAGATAAGTTTCAAATTCTCTTTTGTTGAAGTTCTCATTTATCCTTCGAACACACCAACTAGCGATCACTCGACCGGAAAATGACAGAAAGAAGAAAGTAGCATATGAGGGAATCGAAACCGTTTCCCCAAGTCATCCCACAGCGCGAAGGGACAATACAGTACTACTATAACAATTCAGACTTTAATTTTGGTTTTTAAAATATATATTTCTTTTTCATTTTCCTTTGAATGCGTTATTTGTTGGTCTTGTAAAAAAGAGATTTTGAGTCCTAAACTTTTCGGGCAAGAGGAAATTCACAAAGGCTGTTTTCTTTTTAAGAATTGTACTAAGTTAAATAGTATTAGTGATCAAAAACGACTCAAAGATCTGACTGCTTCCTTTTTCGTCAATCGTCGTGACATGACACTAACGAGACCTATGTTTGCACATTTAGGAATTAGACAATAAGAAAAAAGTGGACTCATACATTTCCTAAGGTTATTCTTGTAAGGTGAACAACAGCGCCTCAACTGGAATTCGAACTCTGCAGATTCGTTTTCTGTCCTGATAATCGTAAAACAATAATACACCTGCCTGTTTGAAGTCTCAGAATTTGAACTCAGAAGATAATTCATTCTATATCACCACTAGCGCTATATTCTACCAGAGCCAATATCAGAGTTAATTACCTACGAAAAGAAAAAGAAAGATTAAATGCTTTTGTTTGATATGATGCTTTCTTGGGAAGGAAAGAGGAAGCTAGACATCTGTAAAGTTGGGTATTTGAAATCGAATTAGGAATTGGAATATGCGATTCTTTCGATAAGAGACTCGATGGCAGATTTGTTGCTTAACAGCCCAGTTTTTAGATCTTTATTTCCAATTTTCCCCGAGCGATTTCAAAATCTTAGTCATCCTTCATTTTGACAATCTTCGCCGTCGACTTTTCTTAAAAACAATAGTAATATCATCTTTCTCGGTTGGTCATTATCGTTATATCTTCAACATTATATGAGGCTTTTAAAAACTAAATATTTTAGTTTGTTCATTTCCCCCATACTTTCATTCATTTTTCTCACTTCCCTTCTTTCTTTCTATATTTCTTTATTTCTTTCTGACTTTCTCTTTATCTAACCTTCTTTCTTTATTTCTTTATTTCTTTCTATCTCCCCTTCTTTCTTTTTTTTTGTTTCTTTTTATCTACCCATTTCTTTCTTTCTTTCTTTCTTTCTTTCTTTCTTTCTTTCTTTCTTCAAAGGATGCTGAAATATTTTCCGAGAACAAAAGCACCTAAACAAATTATTGATACTTGGTGTGAGAGTGTGTCGTTTCAGAATATATATATATATATATATATATATATATACATATATATATACACACACACACACACACACACACACACACACACACACACACACACACATATATATATATATATATATATATATATATATATATATATATATATAATTATTTATTTAAAAATATGATTCCAAATCGCGACATAAGAAGTCCCATGTTTCAAAACAAGAGCCGAAAACTTCAATATAATTATTTAAATTATTTAAATTAAATTGAGTTAAAATAAGCTCTGTTCCATCTTCAAGCGAAATTTTTTTGGAATAACGTGTTTCTGAAATTTACGTGTTTTGAAAATTGAAATCAAAATTTCCATGGTAACAGCTAGGGCGAATTGTTTAAGTTGGGTAGGCGGGTGTTGGGTGTTAATAATAAGTATCAGTATAGAGTTACTTTCGTAGATGTCAAGTCAGTGAAAGGTGGGGGTGTCTAAATTTGAAACGGAAGATGTATTAACCTCGTCTAGTTTGCATGTCTATGGAGATTTATTTATTTTTTTATTTTATTTTTTTATTTTTTTATGAAAGGGATTTGTGCATATAAAAAAAACCCAAAACTGTCGTAACGTTTGTTTTATGACGACTTCATAAAGGGTTATCTTTTTTTAGGGTATTTAAACTATTTATTTCGGCTATGGATTATGAAGGGTGTTATATTGTATGCATGTTTTTAGTTAATTATTCAAATCATGAATCTGATGAGTGGGCTATGGATTAAACAAGTTATTATATTGTATGCTAGATTTTAGCTAATAGTTCAAACCAAAAATCTGATGATGCCTACAAAAAACCGTTAACTCGTGTCTATTGTTTAATAGATTATTATTATTTAGAAGCTTAATAATGTGCAATTTCTCATGGAGGCACAAAGGGCATGGGTCATCCAAAGTTTTACATGTTCTAGCCTTGTTTATAATTTTCCATTTAACTTTAGGTGTCCTATTTGTTTCCTTCAAATGCCAAAAATATTTAGATAGGGAAGTCTGATTTCCTTTGTTTATATTATTGAAAGAACACTTATGCTGCCTCCATCTATCTTTAAAATTATTCTTCGTGGACCCAATGTATATCTTATTAGTGCTAGGGCTCTCAGTGGATGATATAGTACATTGGTATACCACTGATTTAATGCAGCATTTATTTTCTAATGGGCAGTCTTCTAGGTTTCTACAGTTACATAATTTTCCCCTTTTATTGTCTGATTTAAGTGCAGGTTTTTTATTAATACTGTTTAGGCATGGGGGTTTGTTCAAGATCTTATTATTGTGTTTTTTTATTATACGTTCAAGATTTTCAGAGCAGCTGTAACTCAATTTTACAATTTTAGGGTGTTCTTATTGAATATATTGCTAAGCTTACTATTGGCGGGGAAGTGTTTATCAATTAGGTTTAAGAATTTTTGTCCTAGTTTAATATTATATTCCTATTTTCTATATTTTCTATATATTTTCACACACACACACACACACACACACACACACACACACACACACACACACACATATATATATATATATATATATATATATATATAGAGATGGATTATATGTGCGTGAGTGAGGTACAGAAAGATTTCTCAGCACAACCCACTTTCCTATTTCTTAATTTTCCGTTTGGTGCTGGTCATTATCGTTATAGCGCTGTTAACAAATAAATACCTTAGTTTGTTCGTTCCTCTCATACTATCCTTCTTTCTTTCCTCCGTTTTTCCATCTTCACTTCTTTCCTTTCTTCTTTCTACGTAGGATGGTGAAAAGTTCTCAGCCCGAGAAAAAAGCTTCTCAGGTAATAATAGTGCTTGGCGGTCAGATTTTGAAGAGTGCGCAGGGCCGAGAACCTTTTAGTACGCACTTGTATCTCTCTCTCTCTTTTTCACTCTCCGTATATATATATATATATATATATATATATATATATATATATATATATATATATATATATATATATAAGCATTTTTCACATATTTACGTGTGACTGAATCTTTTTATATGTGTGTGAGTGAGGTGCAACGCAATTACCAAAAATATACTCAAATGAGTATATGGTAAGATTTTGGCGGTAAGGTCAAAAGGTATGGTCTGGATGAGAGATTTTCTGCATCCTCTCTCTCTCTCTCTCTCTCTCTGTCGCTCTGTCTCTCTCACTCATTCTCTTTCACTCTCGCTCTCTCCACACCCACGTGCGCATAGATATACAGAAATAGATATATGAGATGATATATCTAATCATTAATGTGTGTATATATATATATATATATATGTGTGTGTGTGTGTGTGTGTAAATGTTTGTTTAACAGGAAGAGAATATGTATGTTTAGGTGAAGGCGTGAAAAACAGATTTAAAATAAACGCAATCCTGTATCAATTCTATATAACCCTGCAATCAGAATTGACCATTAACACAGACACACAAAAACCCAGTCGCATCTTTTGTGCCGACATTGCTTTGGGTCACGCATGTTCTTCTTCTTCTTTCTCATCTTCATTTTGAAACGTCCAAGACCCACACTACCCACAAAAAAAAAAAAAAAAAAAAAACTTAAAAGATATCACTTTCTGGTGTTGATACAATTACAAGGAAAAAATACCTTCTCGCCTATCTATCTTTTACTTATCCAGTCCTCATATACAACGGATTCTTCCTATAGCCCTTCCTCCTTAGTGCAGTAAAAATAAATTCGTATTTTGATTATACGAAATGATAGGCAATGAAACGAACAGATATTTCATGTATACTCACATGCATACATATATACATAGATACATGCATACATACGTGTGTACAAAGTAAGATATGAGCATATTCTTGTGCATCGACGCGCGAACACACATACGCACACAGACATGTGTAGTTCTATCACATCAAACGTTATTTAGCGGGGCGTCTACACAAATACGGGTATCCACTAAAAATAACGTTTGATGTGATAAAAATATTTCGGATTAAAAATAAATCCATAGAAATTTAGAAAGAAAGTTAAACATAATTCTATCAACCAAATAATCATTCAATATTTTCCTCCTTGTTTTTCTTTGTGTATATAAAAAAAAATGAAATTGAAAAAATATATTTCACGCTTTTTAATCCTTTTACATCAAACAAGTCAATAACGTCACCAAGACGCAAGCGGTTACTGAGTATTAGAGAATATGAGAAAATACTTTTAAGGAGAGAGACCACATTTGGCGGGGAAAGCGTGGAGCCGGAACCGAGTTCCTTAAGCGAGAAATGTAATAGAAGAAACTGTTAGCATAGAACTTACGGTTAGCTTCAGCTATAAAATTTAGTACTGCTATCATAAAGTGTAGGTACCACAGACGAAAGTTTAGAACAATGACCATGAAAATATTTATCGTAAAGACACATGAAAAGCAAGCTACGGAGGTGAGAAAGTGACTGAAGCCGAGATCCCAGGTCAGATTGCAGATTCTTCTTTTGATTTTTTATCAAGAATCTCTCAATATACAGCATGAGCACCAGACAAGTTGTAGCAGCAATATTCAAAGTATAGACGAATAGTAGACTTAAATATGTGAGTTTCTGGAGTTAAAATTTGTCTGTTACGACACTGTGAACCAATTTCACTAGGTGAAGACTTAGAAGCTGTTTCAATATACTCTTTCTACTCCATGTCAGCGAAAAACTTTAGTCCGAGAAAAGACAATAAGTTATTATTCTGGTGGTTATTTATCAGCCATGCTGATGGAAGGTAAAATGGGTTCTCTCGGAGATGATTAAAAAAGAGCAGTTTTGTTTTGGAGCCATTCCTTGCCCCATTTAACAACAGAATGTTGGTCATTTTTTAGTTAGCTGCCAATTGACCTTATCGAACCGATCAGACTTACTCTAAAGACCGGAATAAATAGTTGTGCCATCAGCATAAATACCGAATTGAGAATTGTTGACATCACTTAACCTGATTGCGTAATATAACATCACTTAACTGGACTGTGTAATATAACACTATTAAATATAGGAAAGATTTCTCATATACAAAAATAAACAGATATATGTTAAAATTCACATTGACATATACTCTCAAATATACACTGAAAACTTTTACCAATATAGTTTGTTTAATAACAATCTTTTTGTGAAATCATTTATTGCAATAGTAGAGGTACTGACACAGAATCGAAATCGCTTGGATCTCACTTAATTCATTGCACCTACGAATTGTCCAAAAACAAGAACACATGTGAGTCTTTCAATATATTTCTCCAATTATTACTACTTTAATTGCTCTTTCACGGAGTCAGCCTTTTCCTTTTTTTCGTAAACATTATGAAAGATTTCAGCATTATCAATAGAATTACTTGCCATTGCAAGCGGGATAACTTTAGTAATACATCAGAAAAGTTAATAAGAAAAATACAAATATCTATATCATATTATACACAACAAAGATTTTATTTTGACCCCAAACTGTCAAACCAGGGTATTTCTGGAATAATGTAATTATTGTTCTAATATCAATAGATAGGTGATTGATAATATTATCAAAATTAATAATTATTTTACTACCAACTGAAAAGTGGAGGTAATTCTGTAGAACTCAAAGTAGAGACAAGTGAACAGATTTATTATATATTACTGCAGTAAATCTTTTTCTACTCTGTGTTATAAGACATTTTGTTACCTGTTGATATATTTTTATAACTACTAATAGTATTGCAAAAAGGTACTATGCATCACCTAGTCTTACACAAGGTCGTTCTGGTGATGCACCTTGTAAATATTGAACTTATTCGACTCGCATCTATTTGCGAGATGAGCTGAAGAACTTCTCACACATGAATAGAAACGCGAACACTATTCTATTTCACTTATATATATATATATATATATATATATATATATATATATATAAATATGGCCTGACGATTGCATATAGCATGAAACAGACTGTGGCCTCTAAGTGTTGACTTCTATGTTCACTTTTATATATTTACACGCTCTATCTCTGATATTGAGCACTTTATTCCATAAATATAGCATACCTTAAGACTATATTTCTTTATATATATATGTATATATATATATATATATATATATATATATATATATATATATATATAGATAGATAGATAGATAGATAGATAGATAGATCTATTTGCGAGATGAGCTGAAGAATTTCTCAGACATGAGTAGAAACGTGGACACTATTCTATTTCATATTATATATATATATATATATATATATATATATATATATATATATATATATAGATAGATAGATAGATAGATAGATAGATAGATAGATGCATACATAGATATATATGTTGGCCTATTGTCTGATTCAGAGTCCTACCCTGTCTTTTTGAACAGGAGTAGAGGTTTATCCCTTGTTTCTTGTTTAGGCTTATTCTAATGTTTCTTATTCTTTTTCACTTAATTGATTAATATATATATATATATATATATATATATATATATATATATATATATATATAAAAAAGAAATATAGTCTTAAGGTGTGCTATATTTATGGGATAAAGTGCTCAATATCAGAGATAGAGCGTGTGTAAATATAAAAGTGAACATTCTAAGTGTTGACTTCTATGTTCACTTTTATATTTATATATATATATATATATATATATATATATATATATATATATTATTGTTTGTAAATATATATGAAATGCACGCACGTGTGCAATTTATATGTGTATAAACTTTCTCGGCCTGATCCATTTCCCCAGAACTAAGCAAATGAATAATCATCAAAATTCTATTTGTAGGGGGGGGGCTTCTTAGTCTGTCTGAGAACATTCCATGACTGTTTCGTAAGTTAGTTATTAACTTTGACCTTAATAAAGACAGCCATGTCTACAGAGCACATAACTTTAGTATGTTTAAAGTTTAGATTGGGAAACAATTCGAAATATTTTTGGACTGAAAAAAAATTGTGGAAATTGTTTTGAAAGTTGTGAAAAATGTCAGCTTTAGAGATGCGTCACGAGCACTTTGTCATCGTAAGTTTAACAAGAAGCTAATTTAAACTGAACTAGAGCGAGAGAGAAAGAAAGAGAATAGAAAGAGAGAGGGGGGTCTTGAGTTTTAATTCAAAAACACAATTCAAGCCATTCAGTGGTTCACCGTCATCTGCAACAATTTGCAAAATGGGTTTCCCATTATTTGACAGAAACTAACCTTAAAGCAAAAGTGAACATCTGTGTTTGTCAGTACTCTCGTGAATACATCTGAACAATAGTGGACAAAATAGTGATTATTTGTAAAAATCGACATTTTACATGAATATAAAGAAACAGAAATAATGATTGCAAGGAATATTTTAATAAGTAGTTAGAGCAGTTATTTATGGTCAATGTTAGATTAGAGTAGTCTGCTATTGTCAATGTTAGTGTAACCGGCTATTGTCAATGTTAGATTAGAGTAGCTATCTGTTGCCAATGTTAGGATAAAAGCACATATCTACTTTCAGTTTTAGAATGTTTGAACACTATAGTGAAGGAAAATATTAACAACAGTTTATTGTTCGACTTCGTTAATATACGGCTTCATACAACAAAGATTGAATCGGAAAAGTTCGAAAACCTCGGCTGCGAAAGATTCCACACGTTCGTTATTTCCTGTATCTCCATCTAATAATTGTCATCTAAATTAATATTTACAGAAACTAAACCGGTTCCTCAAACCGAAAACAACACATTTAGCGGGATAATGAATTGCTGCAATGAGGTTATTGATAGGTTTAATGGATTGATTTATTTATATTTAATATTGTTACTTTTAGGCAGTACATGGTATGACCTGATAATAATCACACATGTGAGGGTCGGTCCTAAATTGACAATTATGTTGACCCACGATATTAGAGGCAGTTGTTGCTGGTATGTCAATAGTGACTGAAAATTCACGTCAATATCCTATAATTTTAATTTTGCCTTATGTAAGCGGCGAATATAATAATTAAATAGAATTAACTTTTTATTCGCGTAATTACAAAAGCACGCAAAAAAAGAAGATATATAAAGAGAGGGTATTGAAAAGTTCGCACCGGAACAAGAAGCCATTTTGAAAAAGAATCTGATGTTTAGATAATTTGTTGGATTTCGGGAAGTGGATCAGGATGAGAATTTTTCAGTCAAACCTCATGTATACACACATATACATGAATTGTGTGTGCGTACGTCTGTGTATTTACACTCTGTAATAGAGATTTTTTTTCTCAGCCTCTTGTAGAACCATTCCAACGGGCACAAATTGAAATCCTCCTTGTTGTTCTGAATTCTGTTTACTAGTGACTATTTGCGGCCCTTTTCAGATTTCTATATGCGGAAAGTTGGTATTTTTGGCCTTTGTGTTTTTTCTATTATCTCCGTATGTTGCCAGAGGGCAGCACCCCCAAGTCAGAAGTCGAATATTTGCAACTGCGTCAGTTTTTATCTCCTTTTTATTTAGCTTAGAGTGGGGGTGAGACAAGAAAGAAAAGCGGAAATTGTAGACTCTTAGTAACCTTAAATATTCAAATTATATAAAACCTATTTTTTACTTATTTTTCTTTTTTTCATTTTTCCTGGTATTTTCCGTTATTTATTTCCCAATTTCTTTCTTTCTTATAGTTTTCTTTCTTACATGTGTACTTTCCCAGATTTATCTTTTCACACGTTCATTCTTCCTTATTTCGCACGTCGATTCTTCCTTATTTCCCAATTTTCATCCTTCTTTATTTCTTTCCTACGTTCGTTTCTTTATTATTTCTTTCCTACGTTTATCCTTCCTTATATCTATCTTATACGCATCCTTACTTATTTCCTTTCACGTTCGTCCTTCCTTATTTCTTACCTACGTTCATCCTTCCTTATTTCTTACCTACGTTCGTTCTTACTTATTTCTTTCCTACGATCGTCCTTCCTTATTTCTTTTTTACGTTCGTTCTTACTTATTTCTTTTCTACGTTCATTCTTTCTTATTTCTTTCCTAGTTCGTTCTTCCTTATTTCTTTCCTTTGTTCTTTCTTCTTTATTTCTTTCCTACGTTCGTCCTTCCTTATTTTTTCCTACGTTCGTTTTTCCTTATTTTTTCCCTACGTTCATTCTTCCTTATTTCTTTTCTACGTTCATTCTTCCTTATTTCTTTCCTACGTCCGTCCTTCCTTATTTCCTTCCTACGTTCGTTTTTCCTTACATCTTCGCCACCAAGATACACATTACTTTCTTTCTCACGTTATTTCTCCCTGATTCCTTCAATTGCATTGTTTGTACTTCTTTCTTTCATATGTCATTTCTTTCCGTTTGTCCGCGTTTGATTTTTCCTTTCTTTTCTAGGTTTGTTCAACAATTTTAATTTTTACCTAATTTGATAATTCTTTTTACCTGTGTTTATTCTTCTGTTTATCTCTTATTCCTACATTCTTTTGTTTTCCCAATTCATTCTTCTTTATATCTTTCCCTCATTCGTTTATCCCGATTTCATTCTTCAAGCACGTTGTGTATTCGTTTTTTTTATTATTTCTTACATTCGTCCTTCCTTATTTATTTCTTTTCGACAGTCGTTCTTTTTACTCTATTCTTGCTTTACTTTATTAGTCATATTTATTTTTCTTAAATCCTTCTTTTCTTTATAATTTTTCTTCTTTTCTTGCTTTCTTTTTATCATTTGACTTTTCTGTTCGGTATACGTAACTCTTGATTCATAACTCTATTAAATCTTCAAATATTCAACACCTCGACTCTTCCCAGATTAACATTTTGCTTTTATAATTCTTTAATCCACTCTTCAGAAGATATCAGCAATTAATTGCTGCTATCTCATTTTGCGTTTTCTTTATATATAATGTATTCATGACCATTTGACGTCGAACTAAATAAATTCGTAAAGACTGACTGGATTTTTACGGTTTATCAACCCTTTGTGGGTTATTTTAAACTGGAAATATATTTCGGGTTGTAGGAGATTGCTTACATTACCCGGTCTTTCCAATCTGGCACCCCACTGACCATTGACTAGGCTCGATACTGCTTAACTTTGATGATCAAAAGAGAACCGGTTTTTTGGGGGGTTGGGGGGCTCAGCGTAAGCTTCCTAATTTGAATTACATGGATACAGTATCAAGGCTATGTTTTTAGACAATTATTAATGCTGATCTGATGCGAAGTAAAAAATCTAAACAAACAAATGCATTTGAACATGACTTGGCGTGTTACTAATGTTAGCCTAGTCTGACATAAGTTTATTGTAGAGAGTTCTCCCAAAATATTGATATGTTGATAATTTTTTCGGAAAAAAAAAAGATTGTTGACCTCATTACAAATCGAATGCGCACTAGTGAGACACTAAGTAATGATTGATTTCGCTATACAAGAAAACTGGTTCATTACACTAATATAGACACCTTGATAATGGCTTGAGATATGGGTGAATATAATTATATTAAAATACTTAACAATTCATGGCTATCAAATTGAGCAAGAATTTGAAATTAGGAATTTTTTTAAAGATCGGTTTAATAGTACTGTCGATTTATCCAATCCAGACAAGAAAACTTATCAGACTGTGAATTTAGTTTTTTTAACGGAGCACAGGGTAAAGATTAAAGTTAAAAAGTGCGTAAGGGCGGACAAAGCTTTCACTTCACCAGAGACATCAAAATACAGTAAATAAATAATAAAAGTTGACAAGATGTAACCATAACTTTGTTTCCAAGAATTCTTGAAGAAAAACAAGAAGAAATGAATTAGAAGCATTAATTAAATTGGTAAGAATATAGAAAGTACTGGAAAGATTAGTTTGTGCATTGCCCTGAACTTTAAGAAAAATGGAAGCAAAAAAGAGACTCATACTTAGAATCAGAAAGAGACAGAAGACATTTGGGGACACATAATGAGGAAAAAGGACTTGGATAAATTGACGCTAATATGACATAATGAATACAAGGGGAACAAAGAGAAACAGCGAGTAGCTTACCTGGTTAGCTTGTGTAAATGGATGGCAGATCAAAGAGAGGAAAGGTTAGTGAAAAACAAAGAATTATAAAGTAAAGGAAATTGTGAAGGGCAATGATCACCTACATCCGGAAGTGACACAACATATAAAAGATTGGAGAATTTAATAAAATTTCTTATCACTTGATCTACATCTTATCTTGAAGATACATAATAATTCTAATTGAGAGGTTCGGGAGAGCCACGCTTGTTTTTGGGGCCTTAGTGTCTGGTTAACAAGATCGTCTGGTTGACCATTATTACAAAGTGGTGAGTTCTGTCCTTATTGGGTGCTCTGTATTTGTGGCTTTTGCCAAAACTAAAGTAAGGTTAGTAAATAAGGGCGATTTGTCACAGCTTCTTAATAATTTGCTTAGGCCTTTTCTATTTTCTCATTGTATACGAAGTGCAATCCAAGAGTTCATAGAATGAACATAAAAAACATATTTATCTTGACACCTAGTTTCCACCGACTACTTTGAAGTCGTCACCTTGCTTACTGTTAACACAGTATTATTTTATTTTGCAGCAAGTATTTATACATAGACGTAAAAATGTAGTTAGTATTTACAATTTTATTTTATATCTGGATTCTTAGATAAACACACACACACACACACACACACACACACACATATATATATATAATACTCTCTGATACATACACTTATATTTACATATACGTTATATATGTGGACACGCAAATATATGTATATATAAATATAATATAGATACATACATATATATATATATATATATTATATTAAAAAAGAAGAGGGTGCCGCAAACGTTTTTTGGTTGTAATGTGGATTTATTGAGAAAAATATTATACTTTGTTTTACATAATTTCACGACACGTGTTTCTGGTCTGGTCTCGCAACCGTCTTCAGGTGAAAGTGGAGACGTGTCGAAATTATGTAAAACAAAGTATAATATTTTTTCTCAATAAATCCACATTACAACCAAAAAAACGTTTGCGGCACCCCCTTTTTTTTAATATACATACTTTTCTCTCCTGTTGGAACCACTACAACATATTTCTTTTATATATATATATGTATACAGATATGCATAAACACACGTTATCTCTGATACATACGCATATGATTGCTTTTTATATATATATATATATATATATATATATATATATATATATATATATACATAGATACATACATATATGTACATGTGCATACACACACACACACATATATATACATATATATGTGTGTGTGTGTGTATACACACATTCTCTATACATATAAACCTATATATAATACTCTCTGATATATGCGAATATATCTACATATATATATATATATACATTATCTATCTATCTATCTATCTATATATATATATATATATATATATATATATATATATATATATATATATATATATATATATATATATATACATACACATATATATATATATATATATATATATATATATATATATATATATATATATATATACACCTAAACAGATACACTATTTCTCATGCATACGCATACATATATTTATGCCTACTTATATTTAATATGTCTGTTTGCGTGTGAACACTTGGAAAATATTAATGGATTATTTTTTTTGTTTTCTTTTAAATACAATAACATTGATAGTTAATGATTTTTTTGTTTGTATTTTTTTATTATCTATGTTATTCTCAAAAAGTCAACCTGGATTAAATTCGTCTCAACCCGTCCGCTCAATTTTAAAATAAAAGTGAAATGAGAAATAAACTAATGATGCGCACAAATCCTTATTTCGTGACTACTGCGCAACTTTTGATTATGTCGCGTAAAACAAAAGAACAATGCGAAAAATTTACAAAATATGAACGCACTTACTAAAGTATATAAAACAAAATGAACTTCTAAAGTGTCTAGTACAAGAAATACAAAAACCACGCAATACATTATGGAGGGTAAATATAAGTAGAATCAAATGATTTACTTATATTTATTTTGCGCTTACTTCCCTCCAAAAATGCACTAAATTTTTAAACATATAAATTTATGTTGAAAGGAAAAATTCTTTTTTAGAAAAATGTGCAAAATTTACAAAAGATTGACATAAAAAAAACCCAGAAAAAAGAGTTTTTTTAATTTTTTTATTATTATTTTTAAAATCTAGCAATCGTTTAAACGAAAACAATTGAATTGCTCTTTCGTTCTCACTTGATCGACACAATTTATCCCATGGAGCATGCGTTAAGTTCTGCTCGAGACAGCGTGAGAAACAATAAATTTTACTTATGTTTACTGAACTTCACTGTACAAAGCTGGTTCAGCTCTTTTAGCACGATCATAATAATAAAAAAAAGAAATGTCACTTATTGACCTCGGATGATTTAATGCCTTAACTTTTTGTTCTATTTCATGCAAACGTGCATCGTATTACGTTTCTGAACGAGTCCAACGTTTTGTCTACACGACAGAAATCGCTCCTTAAAGACATCAGTATCATTTCTGACTTGAAATAGCTTCTTTTTCTTACTCTCAAGTCTAACTCTTTCTTTTCTTTCTCTGTCTTTCTCTCTCTCTCTCTTTTTCTCTCTCTCTCTATCTATCTATCTATCTATCTATCTATATTTTTCTCTCTCTCTCTCTCTTTCTCTCTCTCTCTTTCTCTCTATCTATCTATCTATCTATCTATCTATATTTTTCTCTCTCTCACTCTCTTTCTAAATCTGATGCAAACATATAGACAACTGCAGCTTTCTTAAAGAAGAATTTACGACTATTTACTGATTTCGAAACAATTCAAAACTGTTAGTTTTTCAGCGGTCCAAGTTGCATTTATGCACTTTTTTGTGGAGAAATAAAATAAACAATGACAAGGATTTAAGACGAACCATTTAAGATAATGTTTCTCAACCTTTTTAAGGAAGGGCACACCTCGAAGCAAATGAAAATGTCACAGCACACTTTATCAAAAAGTGTATACATTTAAATGTTATGAAATAAAACCATAAATTTTTTGAAAAAATCACATACAAATATGAACTTTCTTTCAATGTTTCTATTAAACTATCTGTGAAAAATTATTCGAAAAAAGTTTAATACTTATTCATTTGTTCAAATACTAACGCTGTACCATTAATACTTCCACACACACACACACACATAAAATATATATATATATATATATATATATATATATATATATATATATATATATGTATACCGTGACAATATTTCGTGGTACACTAAAGCGGATCACGTGGCGTACTAATGCAGGTGGTTGAGAGAGAATCACTGACTCAAGGCAACATTCATCTCGAAAAAGCAAGAAAACAGCCAAATAAAAAGACATGAAATAAAATCACCGAAAAAAAAAGGTTTAAAACTACTGAATGTTATTTGTATCAAATTTATCTCGTCGGAGTCCATCCTTCAAATCTATAAATCAGCCATCCGTCCCTGCATGAAATATTGCGGTCATATATTGTCTGGCGGCCCCGCTGTACGTCTCGAGGTCCTCGACAAAATCCAGAGACGAATATGCAATGTGATAAGTCCTGATCTGGCATCTCATCTACAGTCGCTTTCCCACAGACGTGCTGTGACCTCCTCATGTCTCTTCTACAAGTATTTTCACGGCAACTGTTCTGAGGAGCTAATTTCGCTGGTTCCCAGGCTGCATGAATTTAAGCGACCTACTAGGATGGTATCTCAAACTTATCCTTTCACTGTCGAAACGGTTAAATGTAACCGTCTCTTCTACTCAAACAGCTTATTCTCTCGCACTTCCCGTGTGTGGAACTCTCTTCCTCTTGCTAGCTTCCCTGATAACTATAATCTTCAAATATTCAACAGTAATGTCAATCGACATCTTCTGATACCTTGATCTTGTTTCCCGTCCTTCTCTGTATCTTTTCCTCAAACACACCTCTTTACTCTTGTTCTCAATCCTTTGTGACCCCTTGCGTGCTAGTGACATTCCTGCTCTGCTTGGTGTGAAATGCTTAAAAAATATCTTTTAATAGCCGTGTCCATTCAGGATGAGAACGATCAGGGATCTTCCCAACTTCCTTTAGTTTGTTACTCTATGTAAATTTTGGCTCTTCACCATCTCTATTTGTTCTTGTTCTGCAATCCATTCACCCAAACACGTGAAGTAGTTTACTTGCTGTGTCTCCTGCTTCTGTTTACTTCAATATACCCTGTGAGTGTTAGTTTCTCCAGGCCTTTTTCCTCCATTTCTTTTTTCCTATTTTCCTTAGAACTTGCTCACATGTTTAATCCGTGATATCCTCTTCACTCGTCGGTTCAAGATTTATCTTCAAATTTAAAGATACTCTCCAGCATTCACTGCCATACAGGAGATTAGATATTAAACAGCAGTATCTCCTAATACTTTGTTTAGTTTCTGGAAGGTATCTTTCGCTATCCCTATGCGTCTTTAGATTTTCTGAGCAAAGAACATTTAAAGTTATACCATTAAGTTCGATTGTCAGATAGAAAAAGTTAATAGACTAAGATAGGAATCTATTAACAGAAAAATTAAATCGCAAGCGCTAATTTGTTGAATGTGCTTCAATTTACTCAAAATTAAACGTACAGTAAATGATCCCCTATACAAATCAATACATGTACGGGGTCCCATATAAGAGCTGTATCATTAGTGTTCAGATCCAGTATTAATACATCGTACTATCGGATAGCCATGATCTTACAGATGGTGATTACCGTCCAGCGATACCTTATTCCACACTATTAATAGACAGTAAAAGGTGTAGATAGGCTAACAGAAAGAGTCGGGTATATCCCGGATTTGGTCCTGTAGGTCGTGTGTAAGTACATTTTGAAAGATTACGCTTCACAAGTCACAGACGACCATCACTTGCACGAAGGCCAAACCTGATCACATCTCTGACCAATAAAGACCGATATTCAATCCCCCAGAGGAAATTCTGATGACACCAATGGAGACGTGCGCGATAATTTTGTAAGGTGCAAGGGAAAATTTGTCCAGAAGCCCATTGATTTTTTGAGTCGTTTTCTACAGCTTAGCAAGGTTTTTCAGGTTATTTAAAGCCAGAAATTATTTTTAGATTGTAAGAGATTTTTTTTTAGATGATAATTGTTTAGTAATACAATTATTACTAATTAACCCATAGCTGGGGGAAACGAGGTGGATTCATGTATATTCCCAAGGTTATTTGCGCATAAGTGAATATAATGATCCCAACGGGAATTGAAACTCGTCTCTCTGATTAAAAATTCCGAGCCATTATCCATTATACCACCGGCACATCCAGGCTTACAGCACCTGATATTTCGAAACAGTCACCCATCTCGGTACTGACCAGGTTCGACATAGCTTAACTTCGGTGATTGTACAGGAAACCGGTGTTTCAGCGTATTGTGGACATAAGCAGCGCTCCCCTAGTCTTGCTGGAGTTAAACGATTCCCAACGGTATGTAGTGACACGCCTGGAAGCCAATATTTACACTGGTTTGTCATGTAGATGCAGTGCCGTCTACTGCTGCTTTTCTTATAAATAATTGATTTTGGTAAGCATTTGGAGTTCATAATTGTCTAGAACCTGATTTAAGCCAAAAGAAATATTTATTTATTGACTGTTACAAACAATGAATTCCATCAGTGCATCACGTTAAACATACGCAGCAATGTTTTCCTAAATGAATATTGCTGCCATATCTGGTTTGGTGCTTCTGCTTCTTTATAGAGGTTCTTGACAAAATCCAAAGAAGAATCTCCAATCTTATCGGCCATGACCAGGCATCTCGGCTTGAATCAATTTTCCATCGCTGTAACGTGGCTCTCCTGTGCCTTTTCTATAAATAATTCCACGATAATTGTTCTAATGAGCTTTCCACTTTGATACTTTGACATTAAGCACAGTACTAGATTGGCAGTTTCTTTCCCTCTCGGTAACCTCTTGCGTCTTCGTTGCTTTACCACATTGTTTGGATTGATATGATTAAAAATCAAAAAGAAAATGTGACCCTTCAGATTCTTGAAGGTCACAATCCGATTCATCGTGGACAAAACAAGCGTCTCCGTGGAATGACACATGCTTGCACCGATTTCACTGTAAGGAAACTTATTGCAGCATCTACAAATGTACACTGTGGACTGGATTCAAGTATTGGCAATAAAACATGTCGGTTTGATAATTACGTTTATATTAAATCAGATTAAGATATTTATAACTCGGAAGAGGAATTGGTAGCTACAAGCCAGTAGAAATGATTAAAGTAAAACAGTGAAAATGTTATATGTCATTCTATGAAAAGAAATGCATGTTGCGTAGCAATGATAGTGCGATCTAAGCACATAGACATCTCAAAATAAGGACAAGAATAGATAAAGACAGATATATATATGTGTGTGTGTGTGCGTGTGTGCCTGCGTGTGTATATATATAGAGAGAGAAACTGATACATAACATGTATACACAATTTTGGTTAAACACTAATGTGAGTTCTTTTTGAAGATTTAATTCTGCTTTTTTTTCATATTTCAGGCCATTTACTGTATTTCTTCTTCTTCTTCTTCTTCTTCTTCTTCTTCTTCTTTTTATATGCCGTGTCCCTTCAGGACGTAGACGATCTTGGCTCTCTACAATATCCAGTCCTTTGTAGATCTTAATATACGTTGTCTTTTTTTATCTCTCCTAAAGCCTGTGTTCTGCAGTCAGGGTTGCTAGGTTGGCCGTGCGTTGCTTTCCTCTGTCCATCTTACCATCAATATGTCCTGTGCGTATTAAAGTTTCCAAACACTCTGTTATACCGGAACATACCTATTCTATTGTTAATAGACTCCCCACAGATAATAAGTAGTAGTAGTAGCAGTCGCCAGGGGGGGGGCTCAGATTGAGTTGGTGAGTCAGTCGATGTCGGACATTAAAGTATCAACCACCACAACTAGATTGCTGCGGCATTAACTATTATTTCAAGTTCCTAACGTTTTGTACGTCGAACCCTTTTAGGACCGACTCAGTGAAATACAAGCCTCCACTGTGAAAACTACTCTACAACACCCTCTTTCCTCATTATGTGCCCCAGAAATTTCAACTGTCACTATATTTATATATAAATTGTCTAATGTCTGAGTACTTTCGGTTTTCATAATACACTATCAATTTTTTTTGTGCATTTCTCGGTTTCATCATGTCGAGTTTTTGCGTGTTCTGTTTTTATCCTGTTATTATTATTACTATTATTATTATTAATGTTGACATCGCACATTGACGGAGTCAATAGAACTTCTGTTCTTGAGTCACCGGTGTCAACAAGACTCCTTAAAACTCAAGAACAACATTCTCGAGAATCTAGTAAATGATGGCAATTTTCTAGAAGTCAATAATCTTGGTCTCAATTCCAATTCTGCCTCTGCGCCTTTTCAGTTTTCTATATTATTATTATTATTATTATTATTATTATTATTATTGTTGCTGTTGTTGTTGTTGTTGTTGCTGTTGTCTTGTTGGTGTTATTCTTATTGTTATTTATAAAATATAGTATGTTTATTGCTATAGTTAATAACATTTATTTGGTCTTTAACTAAACTTGTATAAATGAAATATATATATATGTGTGTGTGTGTGTGTGAGAGAGAGAGGGGGGACATATGAAGAAACTGAGATATATACGAACTGATTAGATCTGAACTGTGTTATAGACACGAATGCTGAGAAGGTTACAAAGAACCTAAATTGTTAGATAAGAAGAGATCGAAATAGATAGAAAGACAAGTAAGAATATTCTGAAATACATCGAGAGGGACACTCTCAGACAAATAAAATTGAACAGTGATATAAATTGATGGACACAGAGATATAGACAGATACTTGGGGAAGAAACTAGAGGAGGAAGTACTTTTAAAAAGTTTCG